TATTTATAATTAAAAAAATAATGAATTTAAATAGAATTAGAATCAAATAATATTTATAATTAAAAAAAATAATGATAATTAATTAATAATTATAATTAAATAATAATTACAAAATTGATTGATTGCCAAAATTACACATTTTATAGGTATTTATTAAAAAACTCAAAAATTAAAAAAAAATAATGAAAATTAAATAATATTTATAATTAAAAAAAAAATTATAATTAAATAATAATTATAACATTTATTAATTTAATACACAATTTAAAAATAATAATTATAATAAAATAATAATTACAATTAAATAATTTTTTAATTAAAAAATAATAATGAAAATTAAATAATATTTATAATTAAAAAATAATTCTAATTGAATAATAGTTATAATTAAATAATAATTATAACATTTATTAATTTAATACATTTCGTATGGGAAAATTATACAATTTATAGGCATTTATTTTTATAGAGATGAGAGTCCTATTGAGCGCTTTGATAAACCCTTTTTCCAATGGCTTCAAGTATAAATAATATATGAAAATATTCTCAATTTTGCACATATAAATACACATAGGCATGTATTACTCTTTCATTCCACATTGCAAGGCTCAGGTATGCAGACGAGTATTGCATGAAACCAATATACCCTCCCGACAGTTTGTGATAGAGCTAAAAATATATTGAAAGCTGGTTGCCAACGCAACATCAGTCAAGGGGCCGAGCGGCAAACCTTTTTGTTTTTGGGGTCAGCCACGAAATATATGTATATATACACACACACACACACATATGTACATCATATATGAATGAATATATGTATATACATACACAATATTGTTTACATATCGATATATACGGGCTGTTTGAGCATACAGGGCGTATGGTTGATATTCTGGTTGTTGTTGTTGTTGTTATTGCTGCTATGGCTGTTGTTGCTTATTCATGCATATGCATATGTCGGAAATTCTAACGATTATACGCCGGACACACACAGGAAACGGCGTAAATCCCCCCTTTAACACATTTAACCAATTCAGTCATAGACTATCGCTCTCTCTCTCGCTCTCTCCTTTGAGCCATCGAACATTATTAGCGTCTATTGGAGCTCTGCTCATCAGATGACAAGCATTTACCGTTGTTTCGCTGTCATTTGCTCTTGAAGGAAAATTTAAAGTACGCCAGCTTCGTCAAGTCGGCTCTCGGCATTACAGCGAGCCTTGTCGTTGATTCTTATAATGCATTTTTAATTAAAGCAAATAGGAAGAAGATAGATGGCAGACATAAATCAGTTGATGGCGCAGCGCAGCGAAATTGAAGCCAAACAAAGTCATTAAAAGTTTTGCCGTGACTTTTGCAGTTGCGTCTAGAAAACTTTGCCAGCAAAGCTGATGCAGTCAGTCGAGTGAGTGATAGGAAAAGACAGAGACAGAGATGGTGAAATAGATATCTATATCTATATATTAGAAAGAGGCAGTGAAACCAAGAGTGAGAGAGAGAGAGGGAGAGGGAGTGGGAGTGATAGCTCCTTGTATTTGCATCTGAAGGTAACTCCGCCCACCTCCGTTTGTTGAGCTGAGAAAGCAGCTCATTATAAATTTGTTGATGCTGCATATCTGGAGCTCCATGGCCATGGCTGTGGCTTCACTGCCTGGCAGGATGTGCTGCAGCACATCGTTTCCTGCCAGCTGCTTCTGCACGAGCTCCTGCTGCCCTAGCTTTTTTTTTATGCAACTGCAGCATCAGCAGAAGCGAAAGCCATCTCTTTCACCGTCGTCGTCGTCGTCGTCGTCTTTGGTTTTAGCTATGATGCGGGTTTACGAGCTTCAGGAACTTGTCTAAAAATCACGCATAATTTATTTACCATAAACAAGATGAAGAAACAAGCAAAGTCAAAAGTGAGGGTGGCCGCAACGGGACTGTCCTTGGCACACCCAAAGCAACGACGACGACGGACGGATGGACTGACGGACGTTTGGTTGGTTGGTTGAAGCTCGTTAATGTTGCGAAAAGTTGTTGCCTGTCATCGTTTCACTTTGCCACATGTGCTGCTGCAATATATAAAGTATACGCAGAGATTGGCTGGCTCGCATTGCTGCTCAAATTATGATGATGATGATGCTGCTGCTGCTGCTGCTGCCACAGAATATGCAACATTGAAATACAACATACAAAATGCAAGCGTTGTGAAAAATTGAAAGAACGAAACAGAAACAGCAACAGCAGGAGAAGGAGGCGCAGGAGCAGGAGCTGGTCTGCTGTTGGTAAACGAGCTGAAACTAAAAAGCGAGCACAGCAATAAAAATCGTTTTATCTTCATTAGAGGCAGGCTGGATAAAAAAAAATAAAACACACACCGAGAGAGCTAAAAGGATTGCCGTGTGGATAGCTAAAGCCTGATCATCGAATAAAATACCTTGCTGAAAGCTCATGCGGATCACTATTAAGAAAATTGGGTCACACACATCCAGAGAGAGAGAGAGAGAGAGAGGGGGGCGCTCTGGCAACTCCGCAAGCCACCAACCCACTCAGACAACAAGCTAAACAACATGAAGCATGAAGTCTCTGCATGCATTGAATAATAAATGCAATGAAAATAAAAATAAAAACCCATTGCAGAGCACTGAAACGGCGCGGGCAGAGCTCGAGCCAGCAGCCAGAGCAGCGAGCGAGTATAAAAATAAAAGAGAGATAAAAAGAAAAATAAAACGAAAATATAGAGAGATAAAACGCCTGATGCTGGGATAAATGGCAGATGCATGTAGACACGAACAGGAACTGCAGCAGCTCAAGGATAAACAGTTGAGCCACCAAGTGGATACATGCAGGTGCTGCTGCCGCTGCTGCTGCTGCTGCTGCATGTGGGCGGGCAAACAAGTTAAGGGGCTGCAGCTGCCCCCAAAGCAAACGAAGCACAGCTCGACTCTTAAGTGAAATGCAATAGCAGTTAGAGCAGAGCAGAGCAGACCCAGAGTAAGGCATGAATCCGCATATGACACAGCTATAGATAGATACGTAGATATATAGATAGCTAGCTAGATAGATAGACTAGGCCAGTCGTCCCATCAATGTAAACACATGGCAGTTAGCCTTCGCTTGCCCGTTTGCCCGTTTACGATTCATTGAGGGAGGGCAAAGGTTAAACCCATTTAAGCGACAATTGAGCGCAATTAAGGCGAGCGAAAACACTGAAATCATTTCAGATGTTAACTGCCATCTAAACGGCTGAATGCAGCCGACTAAAGCTATGATCATTAAGCGCTAATCATGAGGATATATATAGATATAGATATGCAGAGAAATCATGAAGAGGTCATTGAAATCGTGCTGCTAATTACGTTTGCTGTAAAAACTGAAAGCATTTTCCATTCTATTTAGTAAATTCTGTGCAAATAACAAATGGAAATTCTGATAAAGGAGAAACTATTTTAGATATGAATTTCTGGTTTCTGTTCATAGGAGCAGTCAGAGCATTCAAAATGAATGAATGAATAAGAATATATATTGAATATGAATATGAATAAGATAGAGTAGCATTCCGTGCGTCTCTCTTGGTTGTCTTTAGGCTCAAAATCAAATATGGCTTGGCTGTGTTTATCATCTATGATTATGATGATTATAGTAAAACCATCTCAAATCTAATTTTCTGCTTCTCTTAAATAAACTTTGCTGCGCTCTATCAATATTGTTTGCCGTATGTATCATTTTTATACCAATCCCTAGCAATATCTGCTTCAATGCTTATCTTTAAAGCCAACAGAGTTTGTTCAAGTTCAAGCTCTTTACTTAGTAATACTTTAAGCTTTTACCTATATATACATATATGGCTTGACTATCATTTATGATGATGATGATGATTATAATAACAGCATCTTTCAATATACTTTTCTGCTGCTTCATCAATATTGCTTGCCATGTGTATCATTTTTATACCAATCCCATTCCCAGAGTTCGTTTAAGCTCCTACTTTTAACTTAGTAATACTTTAAGCTTTAGCCCAAATATGGCTTGACTATCATTTATGAGCATCTTTCAATATACTTTCCTGCTGCTCTATCAATATGATTTGCTATGTGTATCATTTTTATAACAATCCCTATCAATATCTGCTTCAATTCTTATCTTTAAAGCCAACCGAGTTCGTTCAAGGTCCAAATTTTTACTGCCAGCTGACTGCACAACAAACTTAACTGTATATATTAACAGCTTAGCCTGTATTTCGGTAATTGTTTTTAATTATTGCCACACGTTCGACAGCTGTCAGATGATTCATGATCAAATGACAAATCATATGGAATAGAGCAACAGCTGGCTATTAGCGTTAGCTCAAAATATGATTATCACACGTAGTCCGCTGCTTTTTTGTTGTTCACTTACGTTAATTAATTGAAAATATGTCTACTTGAATTTATGAAATTAAAAATCGATTTTTCTCTTCACTTAAATCAGAAAAGCAATTAAATTTCAATGAGGGTCTGTGCGGAAAAAGTATTTTCATATACTTGATAGACTTGCAAACCTTTTGTAGGATACAGAAAGGCATATAGGATATATGTGTATATGATATATATGTATATATGTATATGCTACACTCATTGTTTTATGTGGCTGCAATTTCAATGTGTGAGCGTAAAGCGAATGAAAGAAAAGGGAGGGAAAGGGAGAGAGAGAGTGGAAAAAAAAACAGAAAAAATTTTATTGAAAATATTTGCATGAATGAAGTTGTACAATGGGCACAACCCACACACACACACACACACACACGTACACGGCAAGTGTGTGCAAATATGCAGATGCACAGCCAAAGGTAGAGTATTGAAAATCGGGCATTGGCGGGCGGAACGAGAGTCGAGCAACTTAACGAGCCGCTGCACACAGATTGCTTCAGTGTTTTCTTGCGCATTTGCGAATGCACATTTTGATTAATGCTTGCTCTTTCACTCTATCTCTCTCACTCTCTCACTCTCACTCTGTTGCTTTGGCATTTTTTTGTATGCTTGCAGGCGAAACGCATACAGAGCAACGAGCTGGCCGCCATCAAAGTTATCAAGCTGGAGCCCTCCGACGACATACAGATCATCCAGCAGGAGATCTTCATGATGCGCGACTGCCGGCACCCGAACATCATTGCCTACTACGGCTCCTATCTGCGGCGCGACAAATTGTGGATCTGCATGGAGTACTGCGGCGGTGGCAGCCTCCAGGATATCTATCAGGTGACCGGGCCGCTGACAGAGCTGCAAATCGCTTACATGTGCCGCGAGACACTGAAGGGCCTGGAGTATCTGCATCAGAAGGGCAAAATGCATCGTGACATCAAGGGCGCCAACATATTGCTAACCGAGAATGGTGACGTGAAGCTAGCGGACTTTGGTGTCTCGGCGCAGATAACAGCCACAATAAACAAGCGAAAGAGTTTCATAGGTGAGTGTGAAGCCAGATAAAACCATATTGATATAAGATAGCGTAAAGTCAATCATATAATACTAATATTCTATGTATTCCGAAAAAATCCCCAAGATTTTGAGTGTGATGCAAGATAAAACCATATTGAAATAGCCTAAAGTCAATCATATACTACTAATATTCTATATATTCCAAAAAGAATCCCCAAGATTTTGAGTGTGAAGCAAGATAAAACCATATTGAAATAGCATAAGCCAATCATAAAATACTAATATTCTATGTATTCCGAAAAAATCCCCAAGATTTTGAGTGTGAAGCAAGATAAAACCATATTGATATAGCGTAAAGTCAATCATATAATACTAATATTCTATGTATTCCGAAAAAATTCCCAAGATTTTTGTATATACAGTTTTTAGTCGTTAGCCCACGCTGCGTATGCTTAATATAATTAACCTTTTACAGTGCATTCAGCCAGCGAGTCGAGTGTATATTATTAGCAAATTCTCTATGTTTATACTCAACTATGCTCATATCTTTCAAGATAATGTGTGAAGCTATTGCTCAATTTTTATTGATGCATCGCACACGCTGCGTATGCGTAATATAATTGCATCTTTATCGCAATCGATTCAGCTTGACTAATGTTTGCCTAAGCATAGATAAATTAAATAACAATAATCATATAATGCTTATCAAATTACGAATTTATGTGCAAATATTTAATTAGCACACGCTGCGTATGAGTGATGTCGTTGCATTCAAATCGAAGCACTTAACATGTATAAATATATGCAATACTTGTTGCCCAGCATAACGGCATTGAATAATTCACTTTGGAGCACTTTATCAATTCATAATTTGTTTGTAAATATTCAAATTGTATTTGGATACGCTGCGTATGCGTGATATTGCGATTTTAGCCAGCAGCTGCAATTGGCCCAAGGCGTTTTAGCAGCGCTTTATTTATTTATGAACTTGAAGAGAAATTTGCACAGGACACAATTGCTTGTTGTTGTTGTTGTCGGTTGTCTGTTATCTGCTGTTGTCTGCGTTGCAAATATCGGGCTGCTAACAAATGCGCAAGCTGTTGCAACAGCTGCGCTCGCTGTGCGGCACACGATTTATGCAAATGGAATAGAGGCGATTTTTATGACTATGTGCAGATGTAGAAATGTATGCGAATAATATTTTGGCATTATTTCCACAACAACAAATACGAGCGATGGAGCGAACGTAAGGCGAGCGGACAGACTGAGAGGGAAGAAAGGGGAGGGACAGAGAGAGAGAGAGAGAGAGAGATAGACAGTGAAACATGCTGCATCGATTTGGCTTAAGTGTTTATCATTGTGTAGAAATGCAGAAGCAGACATGCTAGCATGCACAGAGAGAGTGAGAGAGGGAGAGCGTGAGAGAGAGAGAGAGAGAGAGAGAGAGTGAGAGAGGGGGAAGCGTGCTTAGGAAAGGACTCTTTGACAGGATTCTGACAGTAACCGCAATTGCTTTTCACGCTTTTAAACACTTACACAACAGCAGACCAAAAACAAACAGACAAACAAATAAGCATGAAGAAGAAGAATAGGGAGGAGCAAAGAATAGGGAGGAAAAGAATGAGAAGAAATAATATATATGCTGAATGATAGACTAGCAAATGCTACTTGAAAGACACACAAAAAATCAGTATAAACAGCAATTAAATGCTTAAAGGATGTCAGAGAGAGAGAGAGAAAGAGAGAGCGAAACAAGCTATGAAAAATGAAAAAAATTGCCAAGCAAAATAAAGAACTCAACTGAGCTGAAGTAATCAGAATAATAATGTGCTTGGTTTAGAACAATAATAAACACTTGAGTAAAAAATTGCCAAACGCACAGCAAAAGAATGAGAGAGAGAGAGAGAGAGGGAGGCAGAGTGAGGGAGCGAATGACTAAGTGAATAATTTAAAGGCATGAAGAATTCAAGAATTCAATTTAAAACGAAAATATCAAGTGCAGACATGGCCGAAGCAAACATAAGCGAGGACAACCTCGAGTTGTCGAGGCCAGGCAGACATCCAGACAGGCAGACAGGTAGACAGGGGTAGTTAGGCTGGCAGGTGGGCAGCTGGCGCTGGACAGTTACCGTTGCAAGCATTGTTAGCTGCCTGCTGTGCGGTGCGGTGCGGTGCGGCTTCAGCTCCCATTGAGTTTTCATTCTGTTGCCAAACTCAGTGGGAAAAGGAATGTAATTTCTTAAAAATGTCCCTTTTGGGGCTTCTGGACTTGGTCTTTTGTTGAACTGGTCTTGCATGAGTGCCATCTCTCTCTCTCTCTCGCTCACTCACTCATATCTGCACTAATAGATTCTTTTTGCTGCGCTGCGCTAAGCAGCTTTCGGCTCGAGGCGAGCGAGACGAGCAAGGCTTCGCTTTAAGACCTGAGCAACGGGTTGTATACGTAATTTATATGTAAATATTTACTTATCAGGCAAGCGTGCAGCCCAGATGAAAGTCTGTAAGCCTTGTCAATCTTATTATAATTCCAAATTTAGAAAATTCTCTTACACACACACACACACACACATTTTCCCCACTGCGCAAGCCTAAGACTGAGCTCAAATCAAGCGATTCACTGGCTATTGGTAAACTATGTAACCGAAATGGATGAGTCGAGGCTTTTGTTTTGGTCAGTTTGAATCTGTGACGTAAATCAGTGGAGTGTGCGCTGGGCTCAACAGTTAATTAAGTTCTTGAATTCCCGGCGAGTGCACTTGATAAAAGGAAACTTTGCTGACTTCTGACCGTTTGAAGTGAAGGCTAAGAGCGGAGGGGGGGCGCGTTAATTAAATTATGACAGCTGCCCCGTCGACAAGCGTGTGCCTCCTGCCAGCCACGCCCCCGTTCGTATTTGCTTTGAGAAGTCAATAGGGCGTGGAGCGCAGCGGGAAGCGGAGTGGAGTTGACATTTGAGTTGTGACTGCAATAAAAAGCAAAGACGCAGACGAAGACGAAGACGAAAAAGGTTTTATGTCAGCAGGGATTTATGCAGAGAGCCTGGTCATATCCTGGCCTTGCACAAGGCTGGCTTTAGTGCTTAATGCGTGCGCTGTTGTCGTAAAAAATCTCAACGTTTGCGCATAAATTTCAAGATTTAACAGCGTTTGAGCTCGTTTCATCCAAACGATTTGTCGCTAATTGTAATACCGTAATGTGATTTATGTTGTCTATAAAATCTACTGCAAAAGTCATTAATAATATTGAGTAATGCCTGTAGATGGACATGAATGTGCGAATTAACGATTCCGTTTAACCAGGGAAGAGAGGGAGAGCGGGAGAGCGAGAGAGTAGAGATAATGAAACAATCTCTCACATGTCAATAGCTGTGGCAGCGACCCAATGAGTGTCAGGATGCTGCAAATGACAAACAGACAGAGAGAGAGAGGTAGAGAGAGAGAGACAGACAGACAGACAGACAACGACGGGCAAAGGGCATATGTAAGCGAAATGCAGACGATTGTCTCCTGAGTGTCTGCCTCAGTCTGTCTGTGTGTGTGTGTGTTTGTAGTTGTGTCTGCAGTTGGCAAACAATGTTGACTGTCGCTCAGTGTTATCATTTCGAGTGCTCCTTCAATACATGACATTGTTGCTGTGACAAATGTGTTGATAAACACACACACACACACAGATGAATCTTGTGTCTGTGTCTGCTCTGTCTATTATAGTGTCTACCGCAAACAGTACAAATAAAACAATCACACACACACACACATAAACACCATCTCTGTCACAGACGTTGTAACGGCTGCTGCAGGACAACGGCGACTGCTGCCAGCTAATGTCTTATCGTTTAATAAAAATAATCAAAAAGCGTGCTTATGCCTCTGTTTAGTATCACTTAAAAGTCAGCTGCAACCAACGGCACTCAGCGCCATCAACGGCATCGTCGACGGCATTGTCAGGCTCGTTGTCACCTAACTCTGTGCTGTGGCCGAGCTGGCAACGGCTGAGCTGGCAACAGCCGTGTCTACATGCAATAAAGCCAAATGTGATTCTCGACTCGACACACACACACACACACACACACACACACACACACACTCCCTCGTGTACGAGTCTCGAGAGCTGAAACTATTTGCCCTTTGCCTGTGTTTGATGGAGAGTAACGAACTTCTGATTTTCAGTGTACCTCTCTTTCTTGTAGGGCATCTCTTAGACCTGCATAAATAGCGGCAGCCAATGTGTTTGCTAGCTCTCTCTTATTAACGCTACTTCTCTCTATTTCAGTCTGTTTACTGTCTTTCAGTATCACTCTCTTCTTATCTATATTTTTCTATATCTCCCATTCTCAATGTCTCTATCTTTGTCCTCTGTCAATCTCTTGCTTTATCTTGCCTTTTTCTTCTCTCTATCTCTATATATCACACTTGTATTCTCCTTCTCGCTCTCTTTCCATTTAAATCACTAATTATGCATTAATCTTTCTCTGCCTCTTGGATTCTATCATTTTCTTTCTCACTTTTTCTCTCGATATATACATTCTGCATATATTCTTCTCTGTTTTTTAGTCCCTCTTAATCCCTCAATATTTCTACCTCACTTCTCTCTCTCTCTTCATCTCTCTCTATCTTTCTCTTTCTCTCTCTCTCTTTCTCTCTCTCTCTCTTTCTCTCTCTCTCTCTCTCTCTTTCTCTCTCTCTCTCTCTTTCTCTGGGGAGTGAATAGAATACTTGTCTAATATGTAATACCTGTCTAATGGAATGTCCGATAGCTCACCTCAATCCTCAATCTTTATGCTCTATTCTCGCGCTCTCATTCCCTTATCCTTGTCTGTCTCTTTCTCACATGATTTTCTTATCTGTATATCCTTACCTGTCTCTGTTTCTCCTTCTGTTACGCCCTTTAACTTTCTCTTTCTTTCTCTAGCTCTTGCTCTGTTATCTAATAAGAGTCTGTTCCTCTTCCTCTCTCTCTCTCTCTCTATTGGCCATCTCTCTCTCTCTGTTTTCGTTAGAGAGCATCTATTAATTGTGCAACGCTCGCAGCTGACATTCAATTAACGGAATTGCTGTCACTTTTGTGTCCTCATCGCTCACATTTTAATTAAATTGTGCGCCAACTGTGGCCACTGTTGTCACATGTAGTGAGAGCATTTAATTCTGAATGCGGCATTGTGGAATGTGGCATGCCCCAATCTCAATTAAGGCATTTATCATTCTTTATTCTACCTCTGCTGGCGCTTGATTGAATAATGTTTTTTTTTTTATGCTAGAGGAGTGAAAAATTTGCAAATTATTTAAAGTTAGTTAGGGTATGTGCTAGTCAGGCATACCCGAATACAAACTAACATTAAGCCAACTCATATTGTTTGCTATACTCTAATATAATCCACATTTGTTCCTCTTCTTCTTCTGCAGGCACGCCCTACTGGATGGCGCCCGAGGTGGCCGCCGTGGAGCGCAAGGGCGGCTACAATCAACTCTGTGATATTTGGGCCTGCGGCATTACGGCAATCGGTGAGCAGCACTCCGCATTGACAATGGCAAATTGATTGCATTTCATTCAATGTATCTCTCTCTCTCTCTCTCTCTCTCTCGCTCGCTCTTGATTAGAACTGGCTGAACTGCAGCCGCCCATGTTCGACTTGCATCCGATGCGCGCCCTGTTCTTGATGTCGAAGAGCGGCTTTAAGCCGCCGTCATTGAGCAACAAAGAGAAGTGGAGCCCAACGTTTCACAGCTTCATCAAGACCGCACTGACAAAGAATCCAAAGAAGCGACCAACCGCCGAGCGGCTGCTCCAGCATCCCTTTGTACAGAGCGAGATGCCGCTGCGTGTGCCCAAGGAGCTGCTCCTCAAATACCAGAGTCCCAATACGCCATACTACTATCTCGACGGCGACGAGGAGGTAAACACTGCCCCCCCTCCCCCCTCCCACAATGCCTTTTGCCACCTTATTTCATTTTTTCTTTTCTGTTACTTTTCTTACGTAATTTATTTGCGCTTTTAGCGCTGCTTCGCTGCCTGCTGCCTGCCCCAGTTATATTTACTTAGTTCACCACAAGGGCAGCAAGTCCTGAAGATTTAGTGGCCCATTAGACACCTTGAATCCTAATTTAAGGGCTCGACTGCCCGCGGCAGTTGCCCTAATCAATACGCGCTGAGTGCGCTGAGTGCAAGCGTAGAAGTTTTTAAATAGGCTAGGTTAAGCAGGAGTGAGTCCTGCACAGGGGTCAAAAGTTCTTGGAGTTGCTGCCACCATATAGGTTTGATGTGAGACTGGATGAAGCTGCTGAAACTAAACATTTATGACTTTAAGCAACTATTTTTCATTCTTTTAAAATAGAGTTTGGGCTTAGCTCTATCGAAAGGCTAAGATAAGATAAGATATAACTCAAGATATCGTATATATACAATATTATACATCTTTATATATTATTCATATTCGTCATTGACAGATAATCCTATATAACTCTATATGTCGTATATATATTATATCTATATATATAGCTAGAGCACTTTATGAATATTAATTTGTGGAGTGAAGTCAACTTTATCAAGTTAACCGCTGCGCTGTTTGAATAACTTGCCCAGCTGACATATACCCTAACCTATACCCTAACCTCAATAGATTTTGAATCTTAATGAGTATAGGAACTTGAACTTAAGCCAACTTTTATACTTCTGCTATATCTAAAAGCCAATATACTATCTAAACAACACAGCTGCAATATACTAACTTTTATTCATTTTTAGTCTCTTCACGACTTGAAACTTAAATGAAAATCCATATTCATATTCCTCTTCAGCTTCATTCCTTTCGAATAAGCTTTAAGAGCAACCTAGCCTAACTTTTATTCATTTTCCAGACAAATTTAAACTCCACTCTGTCATTCTTTTCCCCTCTAAGTCATTCCCAACTTCAATATACCCTAACCTTAAATAAAATACATATTTATCCTTATTATTTATTAGTTTATACTAATTTTCACAGTTTTGTCGAGCTGTTGTGGTTAATTCGTTTGACTTACCTGGAAGCTGGCTGAAATTGAATTTGCAATTTAAATGAATTTTTATAATCCTAAAGTCATTTGGTTTCGGCATTAATGTGTCCTCGTCGTCGTCTAGACGTCCAAGTTCGTCTAGCAGTCGATTGGGGGCTCCACAGAGCCGTGTCTAACAAATGCAAATTTAATGAAGGACCAATTTAAAAAGTCATTTGTGTGTGTGCGTGTGTGTGTGTGTGTGTGTGTGCCTGTAGGCGGCATGTCAATTCATAAATCTTCAATTTGTTTGGCTGTTTGGCGAAAACTTTGCGCTGTCAGTCACTGTCCGAGGCGACGGCGCTGGCTTAGCTCCACGCAGTCAACTTGCATTATATACATACATATATATATAGCATATATATGTATATATGCAAATTTTACTTAGTGCCAAGTTTTGTTGTTATGCCCAGGCGTAACGCATGGCTCAGCTCGGCTGGCAGTTTAGCTCTTTGCCCAGCAGGAGTGGCGGTTGCGCAGCGGCAGGGGCAGACGAATATGATTTTGATTTATGAGATTTTATCGTAAGCTGAAAACTTTGTCACCAGCGACTGTCCAGCCGTCCCACAGTCGCAGCGTCTGTCATTAAAACTAACTTTGACTTGCGTCACATTCTCCACCTGCTCTAACACTCAATCTGTCTCTCTCTCTCTCTCTCTCTCTCTCTCCCTTTGCAGACGGTGGCCGGCGTACCGCAGCGGATTCCCAGCAAAATGACGTCGCGTGCCAATGGGGTTCCGGCACAGAACCACACGCTCAAAACAGGCAAGTTAAGAGGCGAGAACTGATAAATGGGGGGGCTGGAAAAGAAGAAGGAGAAGAAGAAAATGAGGAAATTAAATATATTATTAACCCTGGCCATTTGCATTTCGCAGGCATGACGACAAACTCGACGTGGTATGAGCGTTCTTCTAGTCCCGAAACGTTGCCCAGCGACATGTAAGTTGGCCCAGCTAAATCATTTTATATACACATACATATACATTTCTCTATATGAACATCGAAATCGCGTTGCCTGAAAACTTTGCTGCAGCCTTTTTTATTTAGTTTTGTTTTCATTTGACATCTCTTATTTACCAAGATTCGCATTTGCTAGCTTCTCTTTGGTTAATTACTTCAGTTTGGATACCATCTTTAGGTCTCACATACACAAACACACAGACACACATCTATACACTTGTACAGATATATCTCTTTTTCTATTTGAATTGCCCTCTCTCTGTTTCTCTCTCTCTCTCTCTTTATCTGCCTACCTCTGTTTTCCTCATTATATAAAAATATCGAAATTATTGCAAAGTCTTTTCAAAAGCTGTAATGCATTTGTTTTTTAAGGGAAGTTGAAGTAATTTTATAATAATAATTACACTGGACAACATAATTGTATAAAAATTGGCAAATTAAATGCGAACTGAGAGCCAAAAATAATTTATTTTTCTTTTGGTTGAGCTCAAGTAAGACTTAGGCAAATTTTTGTATTGTTATTTTTATTATTTATTATTTTTGGAATGTGATAGGAGCATAGGAACCCATCATTAAGGTTTATAATATGTTTTATAAAAATAAATAAAAATGTAATAAATAAAAATGTTTATCAGCAAAGATTTGCCGCAATATGATTACGACACGCAAATAATTGTTATCCATTTTATTCCTTATGCTCTGTTCCCGAGATCAATCGAAAATATCATATTCAATCGCGGACTCTCTCTCTCTCTCTCTCTCTCTCTCTCTGTCTCGCTCTAAGCAAGCGTCTTCGGTTTAGGGAGCGATACGAACGATGTTTGCTCGAGAGAGACTCAGCAAGACAGCTAATAATGCATAGGGTCCTCATAGTCACCTGCCCAAGCACACAGCCAATACATAAATAGAAGACCTTTTGCTATATATAAACTCGTTGAAGAACCAATGTAATCGGTTGCTCTCAAAGAAGTTTTTTTTTTTTAACCAAAGTGCAGGGCACAAGGGATAGACTTCCAGAGACAATCAACAGTTATTTGTGAGCTATGCTCTTCGTATATCAAATAGAGTTTTGGCTGTTCAAAAGCCTTTGGCATAAGTATTCAATGAACAATTTTGAAACGTGAAAAGAAGAAAAGAATTTAATATTATGATAATTAAATATGTATTTGGTGCGTATATAATTATCATAATAATTATAATGTGGCAGCCGAAAAGAATTTATAATATTGTACTTTTAAAAAAATAATAAAAGAAAATAAATAAAAATAAAAATATTAATAATAATAAAAAAAATATAAAAAAATGTTAAATAATAATAATAAGAAATACTTATAAAAATAATAAAAAATAATAATTATAACAATAATACAAAAAATAATAATAATACAAATGATAATAAAAAAAAAAAAAAATAAAATAAAAAATAATAATAAATAAATAAAAAGTAAATAAAAAATAATAATAAATAATAATACTAATAATAATAATAAAAATAATAACAATATAAATAATAATAAGAAGAAGAAGAAAAAGAAGAAGTAGAAGAATAATAATAAAAATTGAATAATAATAATAATTGAAACTATAGTAATAATTGCTCAGCTTTGTCATCTGTGGCTGATTTGCTGAAGGACTTATATATGTTTACCTAAATTATTATGAAAATACATATATGTTTGTAAATATATTGTAAATACAATATTATAAAAATATTACACTATACCCCCTCTTCGTCTGCCACATTTTGTAGCCTTAATAATGCATATGACTGTCAATAGTCTGTCCCATTCGCCTTAGACCCTTATATCTCTCACTGATGCACATTACATATGCGCTCGGCGTAATCGCATCAGATTAAGCAACTATGCAATTAAAGCGCTCTCCAGACGAGCTCGTCTAAAATGTCATTGTGGTGCCGTTATTTAATTCGCACGTACTCAGGCCCTATCTCTCACTCACTCTCTCTCTCTCTCTCTCTCACTCTCTCTTTCTATACTTGTAGTCAAAGCAGCGGGCGACCAAGATGCAGCGGCACTTTTATCATGAACATGTCCTTAAGGTTAGATTGGCTTCAGTGGCTGCAGCAGCTGCTGCTGCTCCTGCTGCTGCTGCTCCTGCTGTAATCATATTTATGCTTGCCACATTTTGTGGCATTGCTGTTGTGCCTGCTTCTGCTTCTTGTTCTTCTTCTACTTCTTGTTCAACTACTTCTGTGCGCATAATGTCATTTAGCTGGCACCAGACGCCGCTTGGCCTTGACTTGACTGTGCGCTTGCCTGCCTGCCTGCCTGCAGCTTGCCACAAATGCTTGCAACATTTTGGCAGCACGATTTCTGGCCAAGCACGCGCCTCATGCAATTTGCTACTGCCACACACACACACACACGCACACATAGACACTCTCAATTTGTTGTGCCTGCTGCACGTCCCCTGCTAGCTGAAAGTTTTTCGCGCTCGCGCTCGCGCTTTGTTAACTCTACGTGCGCTGGCAACAGCTTCATGAAAAATAATTACTATTACCTGAGCTGCCTGTGATGGATGCCTGCTGCCCAGAGCAGCAAACGTGTGCGTGTGTGTGTGTTTGTGCTCAAAAGTATGCTACATAAATATAATAAGCAGCGAGAGCAGGGCCCAGACTTCAAACGAAATCAGCTTCACAGCGGCCCCGCCTTAATGGCCCATATATATGCCTCACGGCGCGACTAATGTTGCTCATCTTGCTCGCCTCACGCACATGAGAGAAGAAATCAATAAGAAATTAATATACATTACACATACGCACCGTGGCTGGCCGCCAGGTGGCGCTGCTGCCATTTGTCATCTGTAAAATGATTACATGGACGATTCACCTGTTGTTGTTGCTGCTGTTGCTTAGGTGTGCCTCAGGTTGTCATCTATGCAGATGGAGCTCGTACACCTCGACCTTTGATGGAACCCTTCGATATTTGCTCGGCGCCTTTTTATTGATGGCCATAAAAAGCGACAGCGTCAAATTTTATGTACTGCGAACGCCAAGTGTATTGGCTCTGTGCCACGCCCTGTGGCGCACGGCCCACGCAATGGCTCGACTGGCGCCCAAAAAGTTTTTGCCAGCCCGCCTTTTGCGACACATTTGCCCAAAATTTTGTTTTTCTTTTTGTTGACTTTTCGTGTTGTCGCACTGAAAGCGAGCCAAGAGCAAACAACAAAGGCTCAAAAAATGAGAAACAACAACAACAACAGCAACAAGAACAATAAACATCATTAAAGCTGAAAGCGAACCAAAAATATTAGCCCATATTTCCTTCCTCCTTTTTTTGTTTTTATACCCTGAACCCATTGAAAATGGGAAATCAGGGTATAATG